TCATGAAGTAGTAATGAAGTAGTGAGATTGCAAATCTCTCCATTAAACGGTCCAAGGTTGTGAAAATAGTAAGCATTGGTGGGTCATGAGCACCATGGCACGGTGAAATGTTCGTTTGAATGCCTTTAAGGCTTTAGCGTGGGCCATTATCCGTGTCAGTACCGGCCATAGTTGTTTCCAGTTTGCAGCACAACAGTCCATCTCAAGACTTCCCACGCCTAAAAAACTTGCTCCGGGACAGGGATTTGTGTCAACGATTGGATCTGATGAAATCGAGATTCATTTTTTTCTCCCGGGATTAAAACGAGTGTTGAGGCATTGGGTGAGTTCACACCGCCAGATACCTCGAATGTGGCAAAGCAACCCTTCTTAGGAGGGATCGGCTGAGGCGGAGAGCTAATCGTTACCTGGCAAAGCGTGTAAATAAAGCAAAAACAATAAGATTTGCTAACTCTCGATAAATTTCATTTCGCATTGAACAGCCCTTGCAGAGATCGATTTCGCTAAGGGATGTCCCGAAAAGCCCATCATATCAAAGCATGTCTGATGAAGAAGAGTTGCACAATTCAAGGGGGTAACCGTCCCATGGAAGAGGATGAGGGTGAGGGGATGTCAACAGAATAGAACGCTCAGTATCTAAACGACCTCTGGTTTGACGTCACTGATGTCCACCTGTTCACCGTTACGAAGGACCGTCACAGAGAAAACCTCGTCTTCTTCGATGATTTTCGCAACTTCGTTCGCGTTAATTATCTTGGTGCCATTGATGGCGACAATCACATCACCGGGCCTTATGCCAGCTCTGAAGTTTGACAAAGCTGATAAGTCGCATTTAAAAGCGGTACATAACCAACCAAAGATCATGAGCCATGTTCAAGATTGATATCCTTAAAATCTGACATTTAAAATGTCGGGTTTCGATGGAATCGCTCGAAGGTAAATGATTGAAAACAAATTTCTACCACGAAGTATCACTACCAGTGTAACGTAAAAGAAAATTACCTTTCGGCCGGAGAATTACGAATGACACCCTGAATGTAGACACCTGCACAGTGAGCGCTATCAGTGCTACCACCGGCACGCAGATGGCCCAGCGATATCAACTCAGAGACCAATTCAGGCGTGAGAGTCCGCATAACGAGCCCCAGGTAGCGAGTCTGCCGCTTTCCCGATTCGACAAATACAGAGGCGTCGTCCTGCTCCGCTGCTGCTCCGTCGTTACCACTGCCGAACCACTGCCACGACTTCGAGCGTTGCGAACGTGGCGATGGCGGTGGAGAGCTCTCTGGAGTGCTATAAGAACGGCCTTGGCGCCGATGCTCCTGCTCCACTGCCAATGCCTCCTTCGCCGTGGCTAGGAAACGATGCACCTGGTCGATGGGGATGGCGAAACTCAGGCCCGTGTCTGCTATCATTGTGTTCACCCCTATCGCCTCGCCGTAGAGGCTCACCAATGGACCGCCTGAGTTTCCAAACTACAGCAGCACATTCAAAAAATTTTCCTGTGTTATCAAAAGTCGTTTGCTGTACTTTTATCAAAGGTTTCGAGTACTGTCGATGCTGTGACAATTCACATGTATCATGAGCTTTTCTGCAGATTTATAACATGCGAACCAACCGTGATTATGGCGTCAGTTTGGATGTACTTGAGCCCGGTGCGATTCCCCAAGTCCCTATCGACAGCAGACACGACTCCTGCCGTGACAGTGTTGGAGAGCGACAATGGACTGCCCAAAGCGATCACGAAATCGCCCGGTCGAATAGCCTGTTCCCCAGATGCCAGGTTAAGCACTGGAAGATTCTTCAGCGTCTCAGCGTCGGCCAAAATCTAGGCAAAAAAGAGGCAACAATCCAAGTTCCGAATAAGCCACTGGCAGACGAGAAGCCATGGTCACCCCACCATAAGTACAGAGTCGCGAGAAACAGTCGATAAAACCTTGAAGTCAATTCAGAGGAAGTTGCGTTTCCACTACTCATGCGGTCATCGTCTAGTAAAATAGAATGGGAGCGAAGCGCGAGTTGGTAAGCGTTAATAATCTGATTTGCAAAAAGCGCCTTGACATTTCGGAATCCCATCTGAAACATATGTTCACCGCTACAACTCCTAGTCAAAAGTGGTTTAAAATATTTGTCTATGCAACAGCTTAAAAGTGCTATTATTCATAGTACCTAAAGCGAAGCAAAAAGCACACTTTACCTGAATAAGTGCCAAATCCGAGTTTACATCAAGTGCAAGAACTCTGGCTCCAAATTCTTGCCCATTCGGAGTTGAAACTTTCAAGGCTTGCTTGTAGCCCACGACATGGGCGTTTGTAATAACCAAACCAGTGTCGTCGACAATGAAACCCGAACCAGTGGAAGCGTGTGCTTGGAATAGATGCCTACCCATAGAGATACAGTAAATAATGCTGAGTGCACGAAGAGGTTTCAACACGAAAACGCAAATAACTTGGATGCACTACCCAACGGCGGTGATAGAGACTACAGCAGGAGAGACCTCTTCAACAACCTTTGAAAGTATGTTGAGGGATTTGATTGCGGCCAAGCGTTCAGGAGATAAATTCGTTGCACAAACCACAGTGGAGAACATGCCCAGACTACTTTTACTGTTGGCATCCTTATGATCATCTCCACCACCATCGTTTTGGCGAACAAAAGCGGAGATCAACGGAGCAGAAAGGGTGAGAGGGAGAACGAAATTCCACTTGATCCGCTCATGCTGCCAGCGATTACGGGAACAGCGGTAGCGGAGAGTGACACCAAAATGAAACTGGGAGCTGGCAACGATTATTCGCCATTTGGGTGGCGATACCCAAGACGTGCGAAGTACTTTGATCCAATTAGACTTTGAAT